GGTTTATTTACTTCACTAATAAACTTGCTTTCACTTTATGGATTTGCCTCAAATTCTTTCTTACATGAAATCCAAGAACCCTCTCCTGGGATCTGGATCAGGACCCCTTTAGGGTAACAATTTAAGCAAATTAGGAGATGGTCATGGGAACCCCTAATTTATAGCCAGTCAGAAGTATGAAGGGCCCAGACTTGCAACTGGCATCTGAAGTGGGGCATTATTGCGGGCCTGCGCCTTTACCCTGTGGGATCTGACACTATCTCCAGGTAGACAGTGTCAGAATTAAATCAAATTATAGCATACCCAGTCGGTGTCCACTGGAGAACTGATGTGTGGGAAAAAGCCCACACATCTGTTCAAAGTGTTTTGTGTTTGAGTGCAGACAGAAACGGTGAGTACGTGTTTCACCAGACATATTCTGTCCTATCATTCTGTCAGACAAATGTAAAGACACACTTCTTTATTTTCTCATAAAGTAAAATTTTCTGAGGCCTCATTCTTAGACACAAAAACTTTCCATCTATTGTGTCTTCTAATGGATGTAAAGTATATAACTGCTTTCTCCCACCTGTCTAAGGCAGAGCGCTAACATACTAAAAAGTGTGTCTTGACCTGTCATCCCCTCCTCTCTTGACTAATGTCAACATTTCAAATTTTGTCCCATTTAGGAAAACAAGGATTCTCTGTCTGCAGCCTGTTCAATATCGGGTTTACAAACAGGTGGAATTCTCTTTCCAGAGGAAAGAAGAAAATAAACTGGAAAAGCCTTTTGAGTGAAGACGCAGGTCATTAGCAGCTTGACACGCAAGAATTCACATTGAACCTGGCTGTGTCTGACATTAATGCAAATACTCACCCTGGCCCCTGCGGGCTAGGGAGTGATAGAAAAACACAGTGTGACAAGATGGATACTGGCAGCTTTGCACTCGGGTGGGAGCAGTAAATGCAGCCTACGGGCTCTCTCCCCACCCAAAGCCAACATTCTATGATGTGAAAGGATCTAGGGCCATATGATAGGGAATAGAAAGTGACATTGTTTTGTTATTATCTGTCGTATCCAAAGAGACTATACATTTAAGGCAGTAAATAGGCTCAAGAGAAATATCAGAATGAGGAAGAGGCTGTCCCAGGCAGTGGAGGGACAACAGGTGTGCGTGAGATGAAGAAAAGGAAAAAGATCCTCTTCGCAGTGTTGTGCAGATCCAGAATTTCTTCTCGCCCTCCTCCTCACCCCTATCTTCACCTCCTTGGGCAAGATAATGCTTGAGGTGATGAGACTTCAGAGGCAAACTTCTAGTTCATATCCATTTCCCACATCCTTGCTGAAACAACTGCCTATGATTCTCATCATGGTCTCCCTACTTCACAACCCCAGCCAAGCCTAGGGGAAGTCTTAGTTCATAAGGGATTAAAAAGACCTCCTTATGAGAGGCAGGTACAGTGCTAAGCACTCAACACACACCATCTCTTTTAATCCTCCCTGAAACTGCTTAATTATTACTATTGTTCCCACTTTACAGATGAGAAGATTGAGGCTCAAGCATCTTAAGTGAGCAGCCTAAGGCCACAAGTAAGTCTGAGCTGAGATGTGAATCTGGATATTCTGACTCCGGGCCAACGGTTCTGGGCCTGTGAATTTCAGTTTCTGCTTCTACAAATCCTCGTCCCCACCCCCCCACCCCCGCACATACACCCCAGATGAGGTATCCAAAAGCATGAAGCAGAAGTGTGCTTGAGGAGTCACTGAAGGCCTGCTCCAAGTGCTGCTGCAGAAGGGAAATTTACAGGGAAATGAGATTTGCTACAAAAACAGCATGGTCCAGCTCTAGTGCTAGACTCCAGCTTCTGGTAGGAAGAAACTGAGCCATGGTATGACAAGACTGCCATGGGTAGCTTCACATTTGAGAAGAAACCAAGGTCCCAGGCCTTCAGTATGAAGAATTCTGTGGGAAGTTGAACTCACACCAAGCCCTGGGACACCAAGCTGCATGCTTTCTTCATGTTCTCTAGTAGTGTTCTGAGTTGACCCAGGAAACAGGAATACGGTAGAAAGGACTGAAGAATTGATTGGACACCAAATTGGATATTTGTCAGAAATACAGTGTAAACCAATTACATTTAATTAGGTGACTTTTGAAATTCCTCCAACCCTAAGATTTCATGAGAAGAAATATGACTTTGTATATTTATATAACTTTGCATATTGAGGAAAAGGAAGATGAGAACAATAACAGAGGTAACAGCACCGTTTTACTGAGATCTCACTAAGCGCCTGGCATTCCTGTGTCTGATTCTTAGATGCTGTAACCCAGCACCATCTGGACAAAGTCAGTGGCAAGAGGTAGAACAAGGACAGCAACAAATTAATTAACTAAGTAGAAATTTAATTTGAGCGGAGTCCAAGGGGAATTGTAATTCATTTTGGCAGGTTGCACAAGGCTCGTTTTGCCCTTCAACAATGCGAAGAAAGCATTCAAAAAAGAAAGCTTCATGAGATTTCCCTACCATTGCCAGTATTCCTGGCAACCTACATACCCACAAGTCTGCAGAAGCAAACACAGTAGAACTGCATAAAAGACAACGATTCTGACAAGTGATCCTGGCATGAGGGGAAAGTCGAACCTTTCCTTTAACAGCCTATAGTGATGATCATAGCCATAATCACTATTTGTAAAAATACTCACATATGTACTTTCTCACTTCATTTTTTACTCCACTTAATTGAATGCTATCTTAGCACCTATTTGCCATTTTGGACTCCTTTCCAAGTGGATCCCCAACTAGATCACAAGGTTCTTTAGGATGAAGCCCTGGCAAATTTCTCTGCCCCTCCATAGCAATCTCTGATAAGTACACAGTAGCGTGCAGAAAACACCAAAGGAATGGAACAAAAAATCAGTTCTGATGTGGAATCAGCAGCCACTTCTGCCAGTGCATGTGTATAAACTGTCCTTTGTTGGGACAGCGGCTTCAATATATAGTATCTGCCCTGGTCTCCCTATCTTCTGAAAAGTCTCCTCTAGCCCAGTAGATTCCCAACAGACTACACTCTCCTTCCTATGCTTCAATAGACCCTTGAAATTCTCTTTTTTTTTTTTTGACCCTCTTGAGCCTTTAGGGGGTCCTATTGTTTGGCAATAATTTTTCACACACTGTAGTCCTATGGAACTTTGCTGTTTTAGCTATCCCAGAGATTCTCAAACTTGAGCAAGCCTATCAATCCCCAGGGCCCACACTTAGATATTCTCTTCTGGAATAGAGTCAGAAATCTACAGTTGTAATCGGCCCACCAGGTAATTTCTGATACAAGTGTCCCAAAGGAATTATGAAAACAGGATCTTAATCTAATGAATGATTATTATGATTCCTAGGAGCTAGAATCTCAAGCGTGCTTTGTTTCTGGGGTCCTAGAATCACTGCTACCATTCCCATAATTAGGTTATCCACCAAAGGGTATTCTGAAAGGAAGCACTAGAAATAAGCCCTGGCTGAGTCAGAAAGCTGTCTATATGCATTGATACCAAACTGAGAGGGAGTGAAGCCAGAAAGCCAATGGAAAAACAACAGTTTTAGGAAAATGAGGTCAGAAGACAAATATCACGTCACAGTGAAGGGATGTCACAGCTCTTAACAGTGCAAGGGGCCAATGAATTATCCATGTGGTTTGCTTTGGCTGAAGCTGTAAGTTCCTCTCTGTGGCCATGCCATCCTTAACTTTAAGCAGCAATAGTCTTTGTTTGCCAGAGCTTACATGTAGTGTGAGGGAGATTCTTATACAAAATTGTGAAATAGGGTGAGCTTTTGTACATTTCCCTTTCTTGGTTATCTTTATCCCCATTTTGCTGTATACGCATCCACTTATCCATTTAACAAGACACGTGATGGCCTCGGACTTTCTTTCCTCTCCTCCACCTGAACCTACTTTCCAAAAAGCATGTGTACATTTAAGGCTAAAGAATTTATACAGCTAAAAAATATTATGTCTCCCACAATTACTTATACTTTCATATGAATAGATTATACTTATTTATACCTAGTTATGTAATCACGAATTGTCAGCCAATCACGGAGAATATATATTTTCAAGCAGTGGGAATTTATAGTACTTCTTGGCGCAGATATGAGACTATCTTGTTGCACAAACTTCACAAGACAGTTGAACCACTGAGGCCTAGAAGTCATTCACAGAGAAGCCATGGACAGGTTGGTTGCATGATTTATTCTGTAGGTATCCCCTCCCCTTAGTTCCCATAGTATCCAAGTCTGCATTTATCTAGCATGTTTCACAACATTTGTGCTGTTCATTTTTACGTTTCAGTTTCTCCCCTTCCCCCACCAGACTGTGAGCAATTCACAGAAACCAAGTCTTTCTTTTCCCTTTTTTTTTTTTTTTTTTTTTAGATAGAGTCACTATCGCCCAGGTTGGAGTGCAGTGGCATGATTTCAGCTCACTGCAACCTCCATCTTCCAGGTTCAAGTGATTCTCATGCCTCAGCTTCCCAAGCAGCTGGGATTACAGGCATAAACCACTATGCTGGACTAATTTTTGTATTTTTAGTAGAGACAGGGTTTTACCATGTTGGCCAGGCTGGTCTCAAACTCCCAGCCTCAAGTGATCCACCCACCTTGGCCTCCCAAAGTGCTGAAATTACAGGTGTGAGCCACTGCGCCTGGCCAGAAACCAAGTCTTTGTTAGTCATCACTATTCAGGTACGTAACTGTACTCAAAAAGATACATGCTGAAACATATACAAGATCCAAGTGACACATATACAAGATCCAAGAAAGAAAAAGGAAATGTCTTACCTTCCCTGCCTCTATAATTCAGATTACCTTACCCACCCACCTCCAACTATATTTCATGGTATGAGCAAATAATTGGTAAACATGGCTATGTACGAAAAATGAAAAGGAAGGGGAAAGAGCTAAAATTATACAGACATACTAAACATTTAAAATAATTTGCATCTAAATAATATAAAAAATTGTAACCTTGAGGTTGCATAGTTATTGAGTTTTTTTTACCTTTCCATGTTTTTTTAAAATCTACCCTAGTTACCATGATAAACTGGTAACTAAGGAGTTAATAATAAAGTGATGAAAAGGCTGTGGCATGGCTTTTTGCAGAGACTGCATTATTGCGCACCCATCTTTGACAAGGCAATTTCCCCACAATAACTGTAGTCTCACTGTATAATTATCTCAACCACTGATATTTCTCTAGAACTATAAGAAAGCCAAGAGCTAAGTAAACAGGCCTGCTGATTCACTGCAGATGGACCAGTCTATCTGTAAAAGCAAGTACACTAAAAGAACGCTCCGTGAATGTAAATGAGTAGGCTCTTGGTCCCTTCAGAGCAATCCTTTTCTTAATCCAAGCTTTGATTTGTTGTTGCTCCTTTGGTTTAAATCAGATAATGTGAGGATTGGAACTAAAGTAAAATAACAGAAATAGTACGTATTTTAGTATTATGTCATTTGTAGTATTGTTATTTTGTCAGAATTACAAAACTACCTTCATTTTAAGGCATGTATTCTACAGTTTACCCCTCATACAGGGCTTAAACTGTTAGTATAGACAGAGAAGAAAGACAAAGAGTTGCTGTGGTTTGAATGTAGTATGCCCCTGCCAAAACTCACGCTGAAATTTGATTACTAATGCAGCAGCATTGGGAGGTGGGGTCTTGTGGGAGGTGAGTCATAGGGGCAGATTTCTCATGAATAGATTAATGTTATCTCACAAGAATGAGTTTTCACTCCCACAGAACTAGACCAGTTACCACGAGAGCAGGTTGTTCCTCCTCGTGTTTGCTTTCTTTATACACCCACTCACCTGTCCATGCCTCTACCATGTCTTGACACAGCATGTGGCCCTCACCAGAAGCTGAGCAAATGCCAGTGCCATGATCTTGGACTTTCCAGTCACCAGAATCATGAACTTAAAAAAACAAAAACAAACTCTTTTCTTTATAAATTACCCAGCCTCTGGTATTCTGTTATAGCATCACGAAATGGACTAAAACAGGGGTAAAGGACATATAGGTAGATGATGCTTTATTCTCTTTGCCTGATGCAGAAATTTCCTAGATCCATATGGACACCAGCCATCATAAACCTACTAACTCAAAGTGGTAAATATTTTGAGCATCTACCTCAGCGTTATCCAGCATGTATTCCAAATACACATGCTCAGATCTTACTCCAGACTGACTCTAAATCCTTGAATGTGAAATCTGGAAGTCTACATTTTTCAAATACCTCCAGAAACACTTATGCACCAAAAGAAAAAAAAACAAAAGCCACTGATACAACAGATGCTGTGCAGCACATCATAGGATTATTTACTTGAAAGCATTAGGTAGAACAAGGACTGGTGATTTATAAGGGATTCTAATCCTGGAAAACTAAAAGAATGTCCCAACTGTTGAATTACCTCATGCATTGCTAATGGTATACACAACTTCCCAAGAAGGCTTTAAGGAGCTGGGATCAATAATCCATATTGATTTTACAAAAATATTAAGGGACAAAATATGCCTTGATTGTCATGGACATCATCGCAAAATGTATCGATGCGCTCTCTGCTCCATCTCACGGTACTGCCAACACCAAGTTCTGCTCTAGTTATATGGAACATAGATTTTATAGGCAACATCCATCTTGATAACATGTCTGCATTTGCTTGAACTGGATTTAAGAACCTTGCACCGCAACCATACCTAAGCAGTCACTATTGCAATGTATCACCTCCAGCAAACAATTAGGCATAAAAGTGTAAATGATTAAGAATGAACTAAAGAAAATGCTCAGAGAAGATGGATAAACAAGACTAGTTGAATTTGTTTCTTGGCTTGCCAATTCTCATCCAACCACTGTCATCAGTATTGTTAAAGGCACATTATGTGAATGTCAATTGACCATTTGTATTTCGACTTCCTCAAACTAGAACATCCTCTACTCCTTCTCATGGCTGGTACAACTATAATAAGGGCACCCTGCAACCCTGCAATCCACTCCTCTTCATATTACGTCTTCTTCACTCATGTAGTAGATTGTATTTTCCAAAGATAGACACGAAAATATTTTCCATCCCACCTGCTGTTCTGCAATGGAAACTTGCTACCTCCCCTAGCCCCCCATTTAAGGGTGGAGACTATTTTTCAATCCCTTCTTGAATTTAGGTACCCTGAGATGGATTACATGAGAAATGCCAGTGTACCACTGCCAGAATCATCCTTCACTATTTTGACAACTTTTGCTTTGTGACTTTTGGAAGCCAGACATCATGTAAAAAGTATGGCCACCCTGAGCAACCATTTTTTGAGAAATCCAAGCCACCTGGAGAGGCCCTAGAAGATGAGACCCCAAGAGAAAGGGGCCAATACTGCCAATACTGGATGTGCCAGTGTGGTAGACATCTTAGAGGTGGATCCTCCCCATCCACCACCCTACCTGATGCTGTGATTGGAGTTCACCACCCAGCCACACCCTGTCCACATTCCTGACTTACAAAATCAAAGAGCAAAATAAAAAAGTTGCTTTAAGGCACTAAATTTGGGGGTGGCTTATTATATAAGAATAGATAACTGAAATAAATAAAACATGGAGTAGTCCTTTATTTATACCTTATGTATTTGTTTACTTACTTGTCTGTCTGAATGAAGCTTCATCGTGCCATCCTTTTTCTGTCTTCTCCACTGTGTATGCAGTTCCTGGAATAAAGTAAGTGCTCAATAAGTATCTGTTACATTATTATTGAATGCATTTTTTTCCACTGGAGAGTCTGCAGGCAGCCAATAATGTACCCTGGTTGATACTGATATACTGTAATACTGTACATTATGCCAGTTATTCTTTTATTGTTATTGGAGGCATTTGTCTTTGTGAGGAAATACATGTCACGAAAAGTCCAGAAAACACAGGGACAAATGCCACATCATCACACTGATTAATCCATTTATGCCAGACGTTGCAAATTTTTTGTGTGGAAAATCAGACCTTGGAGATGACCTTGAGCACTAGGATATAAATAATTCCCACAAACTTAGCATTCCAATAGTGGAACACTAGGCAAATGCATTAACTACAATTTTCAAAAGCAGACCAAGAGACACATTTCATCTGAGGCCATCAACATTTCATTTTTAGTATAACTCCTGAGCTTTCACAAGGGTCACAAAGTAAAAACACCAGTATTTGCTCCCTGATCAGAACAATCGCTGATACAGGGCCATACAAAGGGTATGAACTTAAAGTATCACTTGGAGAGGGAGCATGGCTTTCAAGGATAAGAAAGGATAAGCTATATCAGAAATACCAGTAAGAGCTTGGGTTCACAGTTTACACATTTTCAGTGTCCTCAAAGTTATTCACTGATGAAGGATTTGATTATCCCAGCATAGTATTGAATATAATTTTCTTCATTGAAAGATTGATATCAAAGTCTATTCATCTCCTCCTTAATGCACAATAAAACCTTGAGAATTCCAGTAGTTTTATATCTGCCAGCACATTAAGTGATTATAAACTTGCAATTGGAGCCCTTCCTAGAAAGCATATTTATACACCAAATATGTTTTTGAAAACAATTTTTCTGCTTCTGTAAGTAATATAATAGTAATAGACATATAGTTTCTCCAATTATTTCGTTTGTCTACAAAATAACTTAGAACATTAAGCAGCAAGTGTAACCTCACTTTGCCAAGGAAGCAAAGTCTGTTTCCTCCAGAATGTCAGAAGTTCATTTTCCCTAGCTCAGGGTAGCAAGCAATTACAAATCTATGCTGTTCCATGCTCTGCACAGATGTCATTGGTAGATGAATGCATATGTCTTATATAGAGCCATTAGCCCTAAAAAAGAAGATTGATAACAGCAATGAGAATGTTAGCAAGCCTTTGTTGGCCCTTCCCTGTTTTATATGAGATTTTCTTCATGCTTTTCCCTTTTCTTACAGAGCGTTGTAAATGCATTTGGCATTTGATTTTTGACAAGGATTTTTCAGATTTTCTTTATAGAGATGCCATTCACCTATTCTCATAAGTCTCTGTGAAACTGACATTCTAATTTAAGATTTTGTCTCAAAAGTTGTACAGGGTGACCACAAATAGAAATTTACATTAACATGGTAACATCTTCTGCCTCAATATTTTATCTGTAGTCATCCATTTATTTACCTCAATGTCTCAGTTTTAAAGTACACCATCCTTCATGCAGGGTACAAACCATTATACATGTTAAATGAGTCCAATTGCACCCTCTGCCAACATCAGCATGAAACCCATCCTCTTACTATACCCGTCATCACTAGTACCCACAACCTAAACAATCATTCTTGGTTCCCAGCTGGGGCTTGCAAAGAGAGATTCTTACGATGGGCATTTGTATAAAATGAAACTATTAAGGAGTAAAATACCTGAGATGCTTGTAATTGCAGAAAGATGGCTGGGTTGTCAGCAAGAGAGTCTGACACTCATGTTGACCAGAGTTTTAAAAAGTACAGTCATGCACCATGTAACGCTTCCATCATTGGTGGACTGCATATAAAGCGGTGGTCCCAGAAGATTATATTGGAGCATACATAGAAACCTGATACACAGTAGTTGACATTGGCATTTCAGGTCAAGTAGGGGAAATGATTGATATTCAGTAATGGCGCTAGGATATTTGGTTTTTCACATGAAAAATATATGTATATCATTTAGGTGAGTAAGTACACTTGTGAGGCTCACACAATGATGAAATTGCCTAACACATTTCTCAGAATATATCCCTGTCATTAAGCAACACGTTAAGTGTGCTATTTTTTCCCCCTTAAAGTAATATCATGACATGATGGTTACTGAATTAGTCTGCTTTGGCTATATAACAAAATGCCATGGATTGGATGAGTTAAACAAAAGGAATTTATTTCTCATAAGTCTGGAGATGAGAAAGTCCAAGATCAATGTACTGGCTGATTCAGTGCCCAGTAAAGGCTCTCTTACTGGCCTGTGGACAGCCATTTTCTCATTGTGTCCTCACATGGCAGAGACAGAGAGAAAACAAACTCTCTGGTGTCTCTTCACAGGAACATGATCCCATCATGAGGGCCCAACCACAAGACCTCATCTAAATCTAGTTACCTCCCACAGGCCCCATCTCTAAATGCCATCACATTGGGAGTTAGGATGTCAGCATATGAATGGAGAGTAAGGGGAGACAATAACTTGGTCCATGGCAGTAATTAAGACCATGATGAAAATTCAGGAACAAAGCAAGGCTAAGAGACCATTAGAGGAACTAGTCAATAGTGGTCCCATATTTTGTCATAGCTCCTGTGCCCAACTATGTAAGATCTGTCTACAGACTTATTCTCCTTGGAAGCAAAATGTAACATCTACGTTTCTATAAAATAGGAGACAAGTTTTCAGCTTGTATCTGGACATTTACAAAGTTCTACCAAAATAAGCAAAGTTTAAATTCCACATTACCCTGCCACCAAGGGCCCAAATAAGGGAAGCAGACAACGAGGTAAACAGCGTGCTCTGAGTAAAGACACAGAAAGCTACAAAGCTGTAGGAGAGAAAAAAAAAAGCCACTTTCAGGGCAACGTAACCAACAGCAGAGATTTTACAGAAGCCCTTACAGAGAAGCAGAGACTCTTGACTTCAGAACACAGCTGCATCTTAAACACAGAAGAGAAAAGCACTGATACATGGTGGGAGACCAGAATATGCCACCCAAAATATGAAGGGTTGTTAAGCTGAAGGCAGTTAAGAATAAGCAGATGCAAAACAGCTCTCTGCCCTCCCTCTGTTTGCCTAAAAGCAGGAAGTAGATTTACAAGGATAAAAGGTATCCTGACCCCCTTCTCTACCAGGGAGAGAAAAGTTAACTGCTGAAGACAGCTTTGGACACATGTCAGCCTGGAGACAGGATCAGAGGAATCTACATTAACAAGCTTTACTAACTCACCTTTATTTGCCTTCCCACCATTTGCTGCCGCTGAAAATTCAAAGTCTTCTCTTTTGTCTTGTCATTTCTCTAAAATTTCACTGTTCTTTGTTGCAGATGCTATATAATCTGGAATTTAAAGCCACTGCTTTAAGACTATTCATCTCCTGGGTGTTTCCCATGTATTTACAAAATATACATGCTAATAAATTTATTTTTCTCTCATTAATCTGTCTATTGGCACAGGGGTCCGTTTCAACAAAAAACTTACAAGAGTTGAAGAAAATATTATTTTTTTCCTAGAACCTCATAGTAGGATCCCTAGAACCTAAAAATTTAAGAAAACCAGACTAATTTAGAACAGGAATTATTCACTTAACTATGCCTGATTACATAGGTTTACCAACTTCTACTCATGAGGCATTGGAAATTAATATCACACTTCCAATTTTTATCAGCATTTGTGTAGTATAATAACATATCATTCTATAAAATGGCTTAATTTATATTATCATTCTATAAAATGGCTTAATTTTATAAAAATTGTTAATCCTTTTTATAATTTTCATAAAGTCATGAAGTTTTAAAACCCTCTAGATATTAAATGCCCAAGCTGAGAAGGTTAGGTAAATGATATGTTTTAGAATTGCTGTACTCACAAGGATTATTTGTATCTCCCAAGAACTTGCTACCTCTCATTTGCAATGCTGAAATTAGTTTACGAGTCATTGGTGTTAGCTTAGTTCACACAAATCTATAAAAGAAAAAAGATCATAGATTGCAAATTATTGTCCACTCCCCGTCAATGTACAAGTCCAATTGAAACGCTATCTACCCATCAGACTCAAAAAGAGACAGATGCCACCTAGTGTCTGATAGCTTCACGTGCATCCCAATTCTACTCCTCTGCGTCTTGTTCCATTTAGGTATTATCCAGATATAGCCAGTCAAAAGTTACTGTGATATGTTACATGCAAAGAACACTCAACACATTCTGGTGATAGTTTTTCCATTAACTAGATGTATCGTGTTTGGCAAGACCCCCATGTGTCTTGAATTAGTTGCTCCATGACCTCTTATAAGTAATAGACTCTGATTTCAGTTCTGACTAATGCAAAGCCACCTGTGGAAATCTAACCTTTTTACATTGAAATCTTGATATAGAGCAGAACCAAATTCCAGAAAAGCAAACCTTTTCCAGGGCTAAGTGGTGATGTACACTGACTTCACTCTGTAAAGGAGAATGTTTCCATATAAATGAAATACAAACATGAAACTGAGACACAAGTACACATTAGAGCATGCCAAGCAATGATTTATCATCAGGTATAGCAAGGAAAAAATGAAATAAAGTCAAGGTGACCATAACTCTTTGATTTCAAAAGACCTCTAACAATTTACTACACAAAGTGTAATAGCTGCTCAGACTTTGTCTTATAGTTTAAAATAATTAAGAAAAATGTTCTCCAGTTTTATGTATTAACAGGTTCTGTAAAATTTCTTTTCAACTAGACCATATAACAATTAAAATCTTTCCCAAAAGAAAAATAAATGGAAAATATAGCAAAATACGGCAACTGCTAAATCTTCTTTCTTACCCCTTTAATTCTTTGTATTATGTTTTATTCTCAAATGAGTTTAGTAAATTAGAAGGTATCAGGCCTGTGTCCAATGGCTAACAAGGGCAGATGACAGTGTCAGACACGGGAAATCTGTGTTCTAAGAGACCTGCAAATTGATCTGGCCTGCGTGGTGAAGCTATTTCCAAGCTGCTACTTAGTCTATGAGATTCAGGTGAACAGTATATGGGACTCTGACCTTGAGAAGTATGAACACTGATTCATTTCATGTGTACTAACTCTATAAAATGTAACAAATCTTTTGCACTAACAATGTGGAAAGTCTGTCCACAAACCCATAGAGGACATTCGGTGTTTTGTACATCTTTTCTCCCTTACAGTGCTTTTCACCCTGGAAGTCATTCCTACTAACTTGAAACAACTCAAGACAAGTCCTTCAGCCTGACCACAAGCTAAGCTTATCTTGATGTGTAGGTTGAGCTCCGCTGCCTGCCAGTTTCATCCCACATGTGAATTAAGAAAAGCTGATTATGTTTTTTTCCATCCTTATCTGTCTAATGTGGAGGGCAATCTCTTCAGACAACAAAAGCAGATTCTGTCATCTCTGAAGGCTTAAGAACTGCTAAGCAGTTACCTCTCCCTGCCTCCTGGCTCTGAATTTTCCTGGTGTCAGTCATCAGCTCTTCTCCAAGAGCATGCCTCAGATCCAGCTCTTCCATGTCATTCCATCCTAATCCCATCTAGGATCAATTATGTCTCTAAAAATGAGAGATGTCTTCATCTCTTTGAAATGATTTAGACACCAAATGGACTTGATGGCAGATGGGCCAATGTTCCTGATAGGGCCCCCTCCTTCTTCAATTTTCTGTAACTCTCCCTAAAGGCCAGTATCCGTGAACTCCAACAGACTTGAGTTCTTCGTTGAGTGCCAACTCTACTGTACTCTACACAATAAATCTCTGTTTTCCTAAAAGCCAATTATTAGATCACTCCCCAGTAATCTAAAACTGAGTAATCTTTCGTTTTTTTCTTTAAGTTAAATAGCCCAAGTATTTTACATTCATTTTTCCCCTGCCTGTTCTGTTTTTCTCCAGTTCCCTTTAGATCTTCTTTTATCTTGTCAATGTACAGAGCACATTCTGCAAACAGGTACACTGGGGCAGAACCTGAAAATGAGATTAATTTGTCACTTCCAAATATTCTGTTTCTGCATAGCAACAGCATACTTGCTTCATGAGCCACAGCAGAAATTTGCCAACACCTGGTAAGTTTTTTATTTCTTTCATGTAGTGCTTAGTCACTGCCCTTTCTTTGTATTTGGGCTTCTGGTCCCACTACACATGGGAAATGTCACTCTCATTTTCCTGGCTTCCTTGACAATATATACAGGGAGGAGGTGGCCACTTACCTGACCTGGGATATTATAAAGGACACAGGATAGCATCGGTAACGCTTTCAGATGTTCTCATTTATGATTGCATGACTTGAATAATCTATAAGGTGATTTTTTGGAAAGACATAGGGGGTGATATTGTAATTCCTACATGTAGAGCACTTTGAAGGGTTTTCGAATATGAAACTCATTTTGTTCTGATAGCCTTACTTTGATGTAGGCTGTGCAAGGTAACATATTATTGTCCACTTTTTACAAATGTAAAAACTGAGGCATAGAGCAATTGATGACTTGCCTGTTGTCACACTACTATTAGAAATGCCAATCACAATAAAAATCCAGGCTTTCTGATTGTCTATCCAGGAGTCACCTTTCTACACCAGGGTTTTCATGGTTCAGCAGGAGCTGTAAGGGCTTCTGAGAACCACTCAGGGACCTGTCACAAAGAAGGAGGCCACATGGCCAGGTCTTTATGACCCAGCCCCCTGCTTCAATCGGGGCAGGTTAACATGTATCTGTTTTATCAATTAGGCTTCTGTTTATCTTTATAAGATTTCTGCTTAAAAACATATGCATTGTTTACTCAGCACGATACAAAAAACATCAAGGGAGTAGAAGCCATGAAGCGTGGGTGGGTCCAAAGAAGAATAAACGAGCTCAGAGAGGAGTGAAGTGAGGATCACCAAATATACAGTCAGCTCCAGGTGGCATCTCTGTCTAATAGCAGACCTGCGCAGAGGTAGATGGTCACTCCTCAGAGAATAGTAAAAGGGCAGCAGACATCGTTTTTATTCTTAATAAATATGAAATCTGTAGAGAAAATGGGGCAGCTATACAGAACAATGCACACACATACAACTCAATTACCTCAACACATACGTAACAATAATGATACAGCAACCCCAGCGTTGGCTGCCACAGCCAATGCAAAGCCTCATGCACCTTGCTCACTCTGCCCTTGTTCTCCTTTGCTGATCCCTTATTCATGTCCAAGGCCCAAACTTCCCATAAATCCTAATGTTTTCTTAAAAAAAAAAAAAAAAAGGAAGAAAATACCCTGAAAAACAAAGCCTCAGAGAAGTAAGTGCATGATACCTCTCCTAAGGGATGTAGCATTTAAAAAGAAGACTCTACCAAGGGAAAGGCTAAAGGTGAAGGGAAAATATGAATTGTTAATGGTCCAAGTCAAACTTTGGTAAAGGAGGTAATTTGCTGATTCATTTATTTTTATTTTTTTAGAGACAGAGTCTTGTTCTGTTGCCCAGACTGGAGTGCAATGACACCATCATAGCTCACTACAGACTCAAACTCCTGGCCTCAGGTGATCCAAGGAGGTAATTTAGAATAGGAGCTCTCCCTGGAATGATTCGTGTCTTTCCACACAGACACGCACACACATCCCTTGGCAAACAACCACCTCATCTGGGAGCCCAGGCAAAGCTACGGTGAAGCAAATGGAGCATAAGCCTCAGAGCCACTTAACTTCCCAGACCTCCAGCCACAGCCTGGGAGAGGCGCTGTAATGCATTTTTGCAAAACTGGCAACAGTAAGGTTTTTGTTTTTTTTGTTTTCTTAGCTGTAATTGTTTAAGCTGCTGATCTTCCCATTCTGATGTCTCGATCATACTTCTGTCATGTCAGGCGGCATCGGAGTAGCTACAGGCATTATTGGAATCGTGCTAAGAAGTTAAGTTAGGGCACATTTAATTTGGTTCAGAGGATATATTTATGTGGCTTACAGCTGTTTCTTTATATAATTAAATTATGCCTCACTGTCTGTTCCATCGTGGGAATGACTTCGGAAATGCTTGTATTACCAACTAAGCCATACGATGAGGGATCGGTACAGACGGCATATTGCAATTCACTTGTCTCATACAGCACCCAGCTCTAGAAGTATATGGGCAATAGAGAAGAAACATTTTTTTTAGTTTTATAGAACCAAAAGCTAGACTTTGGAGAATTTTTCAAACCACCAGATGGGTAAAAGTCTAAGTAGAGGATTCATTTATCATTCTTACCAAAACAGAAGTTCTCACTTATTGGGGAAGAATCACTAATGCAGTGTATATAGTTACAGATAAACTATGTTTTTCTCTGGAAATTATGTGAAATTGAATGTTTCAAAACTCCTGTGTTTATTATTTTATTTTTGAGGCAGGGCCTCGCTCTGTCCCCTAGGCTGGAGTATAGTGTGGCAATCATAGTTCACTGCAACCTCCAACTGCTGGCCCCAAGCGACCCTTCCTGCTTGGCCTCCCAAAGTGCTAAGATTATAGGCACGATCCACTGCACCCAGCCCTAGGGTCCTGTGTTTACAGGGCAACAGTGCTACACAGTCGTACATCTGCGTGTGGTCAAGCTTAGGCATCCCAACTATTGAAAATAACAAATTTCAGTCAACCATGTTAGATGAAACACTGAATTATCTTCATAGTCTTTCCATAGAAAATGCTATTACAAAATCATTTCACATAAAAAATCAATAAAAATCTAATCAGCCAAAAATATAAAGAGAAGAGTATCCTAAAGATGTGTCAGGCAGTTATAATTTAAAATATTATGATATTTTCCAGATATACTTGTACTATTTGTCAATTTTATAAAATTTATATTTTGTTTAATTTCTCTTCTCATTCCAAATAAATACCATCTTTGGTCCATCTTATATATTTTTAATCTCCTATTGTTTTCCTTTATAAGGATTCCAAAACTGAACAAACTTCTGGCCTACAAATCTTGGATTTTCCTTTGCTGAGAGTGACATTTGAGGTGAATTATACTTGGAAGATTTTTGTCCTCACAACTACTCAATGGAAACTTCTTAAATTCAGCAAAGATCAAATGTGATTATTTCCTTTCCTGTCCAAATGTTCTATCTGCTTGTGAATTCTCCTTCAACACATCACTTAAAGCAAAACTGAAAGATTCTTCATAATATTTAGTACCATCTTCATCTTCTAGAAAAAGATGAATCATGGTTATAATTTTTATTTTTACCACTGCCCTTTGTTCAGTCCCACAAATGATTTAAAAAGTATAATCATTCTTGCAAAGAAAAAAAGTCAGAATCATTGCCAAATGAAAATGATTCATTCTTTACCAAAAAAGAAAAAACAATGCATTAACAATAAAAGCTTTGCAAGCATAAAAGTTATGAATCCATTTCTCAAAAATCTATTTCACAAGACTATTCATGCCTTTCATTTAAGGAAGCAGTACTCATATATTTTAAGTTTGCACATGCATATAATTTACTAAATTTAAATCAAATATAATATAATGTATCTACAACACAGTGGCTAAGTATGAAAGTCAGTATTTTAATATAATTGCCCATTTATATTAAAAGCCTCTTATAAAAATCTATTCCCCTCCTGAAATATCTCTTTTTTCCCAATGAGAATAATAGTCATAATTACAGAGTAGTAACACATGACAGATAATGTTCCAATTTTAGAAAATTAGCTCTTTCTTAGCCTTGCAATGAAACCCCTTTTATCTGACTTTGGTATCGGTGGCATATGGAATAAGGGTATTATTTGGCTTTTCAGGGTAAAGAGACACTTAGTAAAGAACTTGCTAAGACAAAATTCTTATATGAACTAACACCAACAACACTCAAAAAAAACCAAGATAACCGAAAAGAATGGTTTTGTTCAACCTGAAACAGTTGTATAAATTACATTTAAAGATGTTTTTTAAGTTAAAATCCAGTTTAATATTCTCAGCACATTGATTTTTTTCTTCTGGTAAATCTGAATGTTCAGGGAGCCATATCCAAATGATTATTGACATTGTGGAAGTCTAGTATTATATTCACTCTGCTCAATTTATGCTTCAAAATTTAGTCTTCAACTCCCCAAGCCAGAATATCTAGAATATTCAAATAGTCAGTAATAATAACATAATGAAGAGTACTGGTCAATGTGTCTATGTCCAAGCCTACCTCTGCCCAACCACAATGTGCTTGTCTGTAAAGCAGGAAGTAGGAGGATGGGTTAAACAAGGTTTTTGTTGTTACTGTTGTTTTTGGAAGACACTTTTTAGATAACTCTCTAACCATGGATAAGGCCATATGCACTTTAAGTCTCACCATAACCCCAAAAGGCGATTATTGTTTTCTACATTTTACAAATGAGGTGAGACTCAGAGAATGGGAGGAAAATAGGTAAAAGTTCCCACTTATTACAACTGCTAGAGATTTTGCGGGTTATTGCACTTACTATTTAAAAATAACTCTGCGAGGCCTTCATTCTTTGGTATAGGAAAGTTGGTTTCAGAAAGTCTAAGTTGCATTGCTAAGAAGTGGCAAATATGTCTGAATCAAGGATACCTTGACTACAAGCCTTGTGTTTCTTCTACTTCATAACCAATTCTTGAATCAGTTTTTCTCTTAGCTCTCTTCCAGTCAGATAAATGGACCAATGAAAGTGAGGGAATTGCCTAGCCTTCAAAGATATTTCAGTGTTCCCCCAAGAAGAGCTCCAACTCCACTTGTGAGGAGATGTCACCCTGAGCATTTCCATCAACCCAAAGGCATGTTGGAAGAAAGAAAATTACTAACAGGCTTCAAGCTCTGTTGGCCCAGAGAAATTGTAGGTATAATTTTGGAACAAGAACTGTAGCATGAAGTCTGTTCATAAGAATCACTCATCTTTAAAAATATCACCACTATAAATCTGAAAAAAACACTTTGAAACATAAAAGCCTGGATAAAATGAAGGTGAATACACCTTCAAAATTAACATCAAAATGCTTAGCACTTTCACTGAATGAACACTGATTGAGCCATACTAGAAATTATATTTTTTCTTGTTTTGTTTCATTTTGAGACAGGTTCCGTTGCCTAGGTTGGAGTGTAGTGGTGCAATCTCGGCTCACTGCAACCCAGCTCAAGCAAACCTCCCGCCTCAGCCTCCTAAGTAGCTAGAAGCACAGGCTTGTGCCACTATGCCCGGCTAATTGTTTTGTATTGTTATGTAGAGACGTGGTTTTGCCATGATGTTGCACCAGCTGAGCTCGAGCAATCTTCCAGCCTCAGCCTTCAAAATGCTGGGATTACAGGTGTGAGCCACTGCGCCTGGCCAAATACATTTCTAAATCAATAAAATATTCTAACAACCTTTCCAGGTAATAGTCTTGATTTAAAAACTGAGATATACTTCTTTCCAAAGTCAAGAAGATTCAGTGGCAGCCCCAGAGACCAGATGAGGACCAGATATCTGCCTAGCCCACAGTGTAGACCAGATACCTGAGCAACCCACAGAAAGAACTGAGGCCTAGTACACAGCTGATTGTCTGTGAAGAAGAACAAGATTAAATCCCACTCTCAACAGTTTGCTAACATATGACAACTGAGTGTTTGAAAATTAGTCAAAAGGGCCACTAAAAAGGAACTCACAGGTATCTTTTTGGTCCTAAGAATAGCAATAAAGGCTAAGCAAAAAAGAATATTTGAGATATAAGCAATTTAGGGAGAAATTTGTTGCACCAGCCCTAATACAAGTGCACAAACAAAAAACTTGAATATTTTATTTATAATCAAAACACAGGGATTTATCAAAACCAGTCACTTTTTTGGATATTGAGATTCATTTGAATAATTTAACGTCCCCTCTTCTTCGAGAGCAGAGAGCAATTGCTGTTTCACTATAGCATTAAATGTAATGTAATAAGGATTTAATTATGAGGCAAATATCATTTCTCTCAGATGAATCTGCAATAGGGGAATACACATAAAATTCTGTCACATATCACTATCTCACGGACTGTGGGCATATTTCTGAAATACTAATTTGTCCTTAACCACATGAATGAATCAGCATATTGAGAGCCCTGTCCTAAGATGGAAAAATAAAATTCTACATATATTTTCCCTGTTTGATTATAATATCTTACCAGCAGCACCTGCCACAGCATCTGTTCTCTGACAATAATTTTTAAAAAATACCCAGGTTTGTTCTTTGTATTTTTCCTGTTAGTTTCAGCTGCTCCTTGAGCATAAAGCCTGAGATAAATCAGTTTAAAAGATAAGCTTGAGATTCTAAAAAGAAAAAAAGGAACCAATGAGATTGTGAAGAAAAGAGATACGAAGGACAAAGCACACAATCAAAAGCTGAATCCAAGAGAAAACGAGGGTCTGGGGAGCCTTTCATCTCTAGATAACCAATTCAGGTCTGTTGCTGACATGTCCCCATTATGTTGTTGCTGGAAATTGCTACCATCTGACAAACACCTAGTGGATGCTAATATTCTGTTTCCTAATGTACTTTTGGGCAAATCTGAACCAATCTTTCCTCCTTACCTTCACCACACATTGATCTTTTCCCAAATCCCCTTAACAGATCTGGTGTCTGGATTCAAGGGAAAACTGCTGCAGATATAATGCATAACCATCCTCATCATATAGGAAAAGAATTCTTCCCCCCAGAGAGCTGTTATATTCTATTATAACCACCTTCCTCCCTTAAGAATTGCATTGGAAATGTCTGTCTCTTTGACAAAGGCATGCCATGCGGATTACCTTTTACTGTTCTTCTGACTCAAATTAATTTCTGTTCCTAAAATGGGGTGCATTTTATATGCTCCTTCATGCTGATGTGGAAAAGAATACCACATCACAGAATCTAAAGAAAGACTTAAGGTGCTAAAATCTGCCAGTCTATTCCTTTACCTCAAAAAAATTATAAGAATTTTCCTTAGAGATAGCCACAATCTCTGATCCTGTTAGACAAATAAATTGTGGCACCCAAGGAAAGTAAAGAAGAGGATTTTATGATAATCGGGGGAAGGGAAATGTGGTAATATTTAAGCAGAGTGTTTCCATTGGCGTTAGCACACCTCTGTTTGAAAGACTATTCTGAATGAGTCATAATATTTCTCCAATAAAAGTTCAGGTCTAGCAGTTCTCTAATATGTTATATTACATGAGTATCTGTCTACTATAGAGACTGACTTCTTCAATGCTCACCAGTAGACATGGAACGCCACTAGATAACTGAAATCGGTGAAATACTCCGGAACCCATAGCAGCCCCAAGGGTTCAGAGCTCTGAGGATCCCGGTACCAAACTTCCCTGGACCCCAAGCACTTTACTACACAGCATGTCATTGATGCTTGAATGGCTCTTCAGCTCTGCCAGGTTCACTCAGGAGATGAGTTTATGCTTCCTATAAATCCAAGAACACAGATTCAATTTTGTCCTTAGCCAACTGATTTTGCCCTGTTGCAAGACTGAAAACTGACCCTTAACCCACAGCCTGCATGCAGTTATCCAGTCCAGGTCCAAGTGTGGATGGACATCAAGCCCAACTCATCACTCTGTGAGGAAGCCAATGAAGACCCTAAGGTGTGTGAATTTGCATATTGCTTATAAGAATAAGGACTCTGTATTTTTCTTCTACCTTCAATGAACAAAGGCCTTATTCAGGACATGGAAACAAAAAGTAATGTCATCCAACAGGGTTAACAAATGTTAGGTATTATGTGTGTATTGGGAATAGCATGTCACAAAAATTTCCCCCAGCCTTGCCATACTGTGGGTTCCAGACAGTGCTCTGGAGCGACAACGATGAGTTGTCATTGCAATACCCAGGAAAGCCACCTGATGTACTTCCCACCCCCAAGTGGCAGAACCAGTCAAGAGTGGCAAGCTCTCTAGGAAACTTACTGTGCCAGCGACAGAACTGCCCATCTGTCTCTTCTACTCTGGGAGGTCTTCTCATTCCCATGTTTCTCACAGTCCAAGAACACTGATATTGATCCCTAAAAATAGTAAAGGCAAGAACCTTCTGATTTTCCTGCTTTGTCTCTTGATAATTCACAGTGTTATCTGTTTCATCATGAGTCCCATGAATGAACATTCCCAAATCTCCTCCATGACTTCCCAATACTCCCTCCTGTACCCCTGCCCTACTTGCCTTATATTGTTGAATACCCAAAGAGTTTAACTGTGTCACTATAACAAAAGAAAACAAAGTTATTACCTTGCATATTGGTTTCTTGATTTGAAGTACTAATTATTCCATTTTACTTTAAGATGTGATACCAGTCCATTTTCAGGCTGCTGATAAAGACCTAAGATTGGGAAGAAAAAGGGGTTTAATTGGACTTGCAGTTCCACATGGCTGGGGAGACCTCAGAATCATAGCAGGAAGTAAAAGGCACTTCTTACATGGCAGTGGCAAGAGAAAATGAGGAAGAAGCAAAAGCAGAAATCCCTGATAAACCCATCATATCTCATGAGACTTATTCACTGTCACAAGAATAGCACTGGTAAGAGCAGCCCCCATAATTTAATTACCTCCCCCTGGTTCTCTCCTACAACACGTGGGAATTCTGGGAGATACAAGTTGAGTTTTGGGTGGAGACGAAGCCAATCCATATCAGACGATAATGTCAGCTCCGTTATAAACCAAAAAAGATATTATTTCAGATTCTAAACTTCGTAAATAAAGGTTAACAAATAATATGATACAGCCCATCATAATGAAGGGTAGAGCCTTAATACTTTTCAGTGACTGGCAACTATTACCGTGGTGAGCCTTGCATGTTTGATTTATGAAAATGTGTGATGCCTTACCAGAGGAGAATTGTATTTGTTGTCTACTATGAAAACTAATCTTACCAACCAACACAAGATGCAATTTCAGAGAATTCTTTTCTTGCTCTAGTATTGTTGGTTTCTCTTCTCCCATTATCTTTTACATCTTCATTCTTTTTAGCCCAATCATTGACGTAACAGTGAATCTCTTAATTTGAAAGTTGCTCTGTTTGTTTGAAGTGGGGGTAGAATGATTTATCACAAAACTGCCAGAAACTGGCTTTTAACATATTTCCTTATTGTCCCATTGCACTTGATACATTTCCAGCCCCAGAAATTCCTCTGTCAGATTAAGTGACACTTTGTGACTGGATGAGACTTTGTCCCCACGCTTACCCGGTGCTAATCTACTGCCAGAATTGTAAGCAACTGCTTTCATAACTGACGCCAACACAGAGTCTAACAGGAAATGCCTGAGAATGCTTAGTCTGTCAGGCAGCAGTAGCTAAGGCTCCTTAGGGAGGCTCTGGTTCCAGGCTTGCCATAGCAACCTCTAGAGATACATATCTAGTATGTTAGTGACATGCTGACATCACAGTTTGCTCCTTGAAAGAGGGGCAAGCAGAGGCACGACTCCCTTATTATCATCGTGATAAAAATGCTGCTGTTAAAATCATGCTGTGTCTGGAGGAGGGGGCAGAGAGGTGCTTTTACAGTTTAAATCGCTGCCCCAGATAAGAGCATGGAATATGTTACGTTTTGCATGCTATGTTTTAGAAGAAAAGTGGTTTGCTATAGCAGATAAAAGTCTGTTAGCATTCAACAACAAAAAATATCTAATTTATTGTTCTTCCAATCGATACTTTAACAATGAACTACAGAATAAATCCTGTTTATTTGTAAGTATACCACCAAGTTTAGGTCGTTTTCATCTTAGTTATTTCTTTTATTACGCATTGAAAAAACAACAATTAATTCAGTGGGAAACTGCAATGGTGGAGCTAAAGCTTGGGACAGGCAGTCAGGTTCTTTCAAAACTACTGGATTTCACTTCAGTAGTCCCAAAGACAGAATGGGCACACAGGGGATGAGGCATGGTGAGAATTAGCGATGATCTTTTGGAGGCAGCCAGTCTGCGCTACTGCTTGAGCTGGAAGGAGGGATGTGGGTGGAAGCAAGCATGTCAGAGAAACAGCAGAGTTCCATGGAAGAATGGGACTGTCAACATCAGGGGCTGGGATGAAGATTATCCTGTTAAATTCCGAATTTTCCCTGGGTGAGAGGTCTAGTTCTGAAAGAAGAAAGGAGAAACTGCACATCTGAGCTGATAAAGTCCCTGTGAAGGTTGGGTTGTTGTCTTCAGCCTATCAAAATCTGGACCAGATTTCTTTCTTTTTTATCATAATGAGACAGAAATTGCAAGAGAATAGGGGATACAGACTGGCTCAAAATATTTCCTTCTCATTTTATTTCCTCTTAAATGCAATAACAACTCACATCTAGATATTACCTTCTCTTAACCCCACTTCTCTACCATCTACCACCCTATTTCTTTGCTCTCCTATCTTTTCCTAATGTCTTCAACTTTTCTTCCCCCATTCTCTATTAAATCCAGTCCAAAAAGGATTTTGACCACCTCATTCAAACACATCTGCTGTTATGAAGTCACCAATGATCTCTACCAGTCCATATTCATGCCGCATCTCACTTAACCTATCACTAGTATATGATGGCACTGATTCACCACCATCTTTGCATTGACTTCACCTGTCTTAAGGATACCAAAATCTCCAAGTTTTCCTCCTTTGTCACTGAATCATTCCTTTTTCCATTTTTTATATTTTCCATCTTTATTATTTTTTCTCCTCTTTACCCCCACCTTCCCCAGTTGTTAAGATGTCCCAGGGCACTGACTCTCTTGACTGTAATTATCCTACCTAGTCTCTTAGTTTTAAACACAGTATGTATGCTAGCAACAACCAGATTTAACAGTCCAAACCTTCTCTCTAAACTCCAGATAAAACAGCTTGTTTGACATCACCACTTGGCTGCCTAATAGAAATCTCAAATTCAGCATGTCAAAAACTCAATCCTTTATTTCTGGCAGTGAGGATGGAGGACAAAGAAGCTGGCTGAGCCTTGCAACTCAGAGCATCTGGGCTGGGAAATGCAGCAGGACATGGAATTGGTAGAAAGTAATTAAAGAACTATGAGAACTCCATTTCAGACCTGGTAGGTATTAATAGTAAAAGTTGTCATTAGGTTTTATTTTTGGTATTTATAATAGGGTCAAATACAAAAGAAGAGACAACACCAAAATAAGTAGATCCACAGGGTGTAAATTTTTCCAATGGTCTCAACTTCCTCAGTAATTACATGATAGTTTCCAACAGTAACTGCATCTATAGCCATGCATAGTTCCCCATTTGAGTGAAATCTGATACCCTGTCTGCCTTTAAGATCCATCTACACCTTATAGAGGCCAAGGGAAAACTTCCCCTTTCCTCTCTGAAGGTTCACTCAAAAAAGGCAGGTTAATTACAGAAAAGGCATATAAATTTACTTCACATGTACACAAGAGCCTTCAGAATGAAGACCCAAAGATATAGAGAAAACTGTCCATTTTTATTCTTAGGTTAAACAAAGTATTATCATCCATGTAGAAATATTGAACAAAAAGGGTATGCTCTCATGCTCATACTGAGTGGAGAAGCCCAGCAAGGCCTGTCTGCTTAGATTCTTCTTGGCCTCTCTGTTATAGCATTCCTTCCTCCTGGGTGTGGGGCAGGACCCTCTCTGGAATGGGTGTCTTGTGACCTACAGTCAAACAAGATAGGTCAGATAATTTCTTTATGTACAGTTTTTACACAGAAAGGCTGAGGGGAAGTTAGGTAATATGTTTAGGCTTTATGGCTGGCTTTGGGGAAAGGGAATCCTGGTTTCTATGACCTGCCTTGGGAAAGAAGAATTCTAGTTTCCATGGCTAGGCTCAGGGGAGAATGGGACAGAGAGACAGGAGAGAAGGAGAAGGTCAAAGAAAAAATTTTTGCTTCTGAGGCTGCTTCCGAGGCCTTCATTTCGAGGTATTGTTTTCTGTTGAGTCTCAACAACTTCAAGAATGCTATGCAATTCAGTAACCCATAAAAATATATTCCTTAGAATTCTGAGTTATTCAGTCAAATATAGCTTCTTCTGAGGTATCCCTTTAGTAAGAGCTGCCTTCTCATTCTTCCTTAATTCATCTACTAGTAAATACAGGAACCCACATGCACGCATACATTCGCATCTTGAGGAAATATGGTAGTCCTCAGAAGAACAGAGTTTCCAGTCATATTAAGAAAGAAAATTATTATTATCTACCTTTACATGGCCACTTATTATATTAGCATTTCTGTTATTTTGAAAGGCAGTGGCAGTTGCCCTTTTTAGTCCTCTTAACCCCACCCTGAGAAAATATTGTTTGTGTGTATATGTGTGTGTGTATATTTCTGATAATCAAACATTATTTTTAAGAACTAAGTAATAATCTGAGGCCCCTAAAAAGGCATCTTTCTATTAATGTCCATCTATGACAACAATAACACCCATCAGAAGCTTTGAAATTCAAAATTCTGTCTTAGTTTAATAGCCAGGTCAAAGTCCTGAACTCCCACTTTTCTTCTGTAAAATTAAAACAGGAAACAGTTGTGATTCTTCTGCATGATGAAACCCCAGAGATTGAAGATTGAGTGTGCACATATACACACACAAATCACCTCTCAATACAGATGTTGAAAATAGTAGCTTGATTGCCAGGGACCACAGGAGGCACTGCTTCCCTGCCAAGCCAGTGGATGTGTGCCCCAGGCTGCCAAGGCACAGGTTAAGTATGTGTTGACCTCAGTGAGAGGAGAACTAGTACTAAAGTCTGGAGTTCTAGAGAAGGTACCTTGCCTTAAACTAACATTATTGTTGACACCAATAATATCACCTCTCCTGATGCTTTAAACACCATTTCTTAGGGTAGTACTTCCGACAGGTTGTCAGAATGTCTCATACTCAATATCCACCAAAGATAGAAGAAAAAGAGCTCAGGTAGATTTTCAAAGTGTTTTATTTGAAACTCTCTTGCAAAATTTGAATGATAAACATGGCGTTATTCTCAGACGCACATTTTTCTTGTAGACCTCAACCCATTGTCCTTAACCAAACTATGTCTTTCTTGAAAGGATCTTCAGTCACTCAGGCAAACAGAGGCCTGACAGGCTTACCCTATAGGTCAACACACCTTCGCAGCTTGCTTCATTCCTTAGAGGAACAATTTGGGCTATTCAACTTTAGGCCACTGAGAAAACTGAGATTTAAAAGACAGGTTAGAAAGAATTCATATAGATGGTCAAAGAAGAAATCAATGCTCAAGTAACTGAAGAAAGCAGTCAGAAACCCTGAAGTGTCACACCATAAAAAAATTTAATAAAATAAAGGAGAGCTGGATTGTATGGCATCTGTTTGTAAGAAAGTTCAAAATACACGAGGAAGATTGAGAAAAAATGTC